TTGGGGCTTTATATGTAGGTAACAAGACCTTAAGCCTGGCTTGGTGGCTAACAGGCAACCAGTGCAGTTTCCTTGGCCCCAGTAATGGGCACCACTCACCACCCAGGCTAAAACTGCAATCTCTAACCAACTGTAAGGGAAGCCCCACATAGAGCACATTACCGTAGTCTAAACATGAGGTCACCAGGGCATGAGTGGCCAAGCTTCCCTTGTCAAGGAAAAGATGCAGTTGATGCAACAGTCAAAGCAAGTGGTAGACACTCTTCATCACAAACACCACCTTTGCCTTCATGTATAAAGAAGGCTTCAAGAGCAGCAACCTGTTTCTTCAGAGGGAGTGCAAGCCCATCTGGAACAGGTAAGATTCCCAATTCTGGACCTGGGAACTGCTTACCTGCAGCATCACTGCATTAATATGATTCAACTGTTGGGCTTCATCCAGCCCATCACTGCTTCCATGTGCTGGTTTGGCTTGTGCATGCTCCCTCCTGGCACAGGTTTAATGGAGAAATAGAGCTGGGTGTCAGTCACCATATTGATAACAGCATGCCCCCAAACTCCTGATGACTGCTCCCAACAGCTGCATGTAGATGTTAAATAGCTTTGGGGATAAAATAATGCCTCGAAGCACCCCACTATTATGTTGTCAGGTGCAGAATCATAGGGCAGTATCCAGCTAAACAGATCTGCTATGACAAAGATTTGCATTTGCACAATAGATTTGCATTTTCCCTTCCCAAATCTGTTCTGCATTCAGAAAACTGAAATCAGATTAGAGGTAGAATGCTTTCACTTTATGCCAAAGATCAAGAATGCCTATAATGGCTCTCTCGAGAAACTGTTCTTTAAAAAACCATTAAAAACAAAGGCAACAAAAATACCACCAACGTTCCAAAACTCATTTTCAGTCTGATTTGTCGTCATGCATTACTGTCATTCCTTGAGGAAGTGTAACTTTTAGAAGTTTGGACGTGCTGTTTCATTTCCCCTAGCTATTTCTTTCAAATGTGTGTGCCCACAGATTTTTCTTTTCTTTCTCCCTAAAGAACAAAATCCATGGTGACAGGAAACAAATTGACATTTTCAAATGACCTTTGAAACATTCCTCAAACATTTTGATCTTGGGGCCCCTTCTAAATTTATTCTACCTTCTAATTCCTGTCCTTCTCCCTCCGCCAAAAGAAAAAAAATACAGTCATTTCTTCAGCAGAGGCAAACAGAAACCTCACACATGTCTGGACATAGATAGCCCTCTGCTGTGTACACTGGGACACTCAACATATCACAGACTTCTGGCTCTGCCTGCCTTGGCATCCTTTCTGTCTCTAAACCTTACCATCATCCATTTCAGGTCTTTTGTTGCCACTTCCCAGGCCATTAACACAGAAGCTAACTTGAGCCATGTGACAGCTATTCTAAGTCCTACTGTTGTGGCTGTCACCAAGGGGAGATCCTGCCCCTGTAGTCCCAAGAGCTGAACAAGGAGATATATGGGCCCTACAGGCCCAGGATGTTCCTTAAAATTGTTGGTTTTGACCAACAGTTTCCCCTCCTGTGGTCTCCAGCAACTAGCATTCAGAAGCATTCCTGCTTCCTGCCTTTGATAGCCCTCTCCTCCAATAATCTGTCCAATCTTTTAAAACCACCTAGGTTATTATGCCAATAAGGCTGAATGAATGAATGATCATCTAGGTTGGTGCACATCACTGACTCCAGTGGGAGTAAGTTCCTGTGGGAGTGAGTGTGAAGAAGTGCTTTCTTTTAATATAGTGCATGTTCAGTGCTCATTTCTATGTTGATTAAAAAACACACAACTATTCCAACCTGGAAAATTGAAGGGGCAAATTAACATAATTTGGGGTGGTATACAGTTTTTTCCTGCTATTTTCATGGGTGAATCCTGGGGGATAGAAGTACGTATGTGCAGAAAGGCTGGGGGGGGAGGATAGTGACATTGTCCAATGGCATTTGTTGTATTGGCACACTATACCCACTGGTGTCAATGAAATTCAGCACAATGTGCTGGTATACAAGTCAAAACTCCACAGTTCCAAAGCACTACAGATACTGTAGTGTGAAAGGAACATCAGGAAATGGGACTGAAGCCTAGCATCATTATCAGGAAAACTAATGCAATACTCCTGTGTCTGGATGCATTCTCACAGGGAAGTATGCCCCTGATTCCAATTTGGGCCCCTCCAAATGTCCTTTCCGTTGCACATTCATGATGGCTTGTCTCACAATGGCATTGGGCTGGATATACACGATGCCACTATGCTGGTTGGGTCTGCAAATTTTTCAGCAAAGATATACTGCTTCATTTCCAATTAGTTCATGTCCTGTAACTTCTTGATAAAATCCCGAAACTTTCTATACACAAATGTTTCAGTTTCTCTTTTTTGCCCTGCTTGCATTGCACTATAGTACCCTTCCAGACAGCAATAATGCAACAACACTGGAGAAGCATCACAGGAACAATTAATAGGGTGGAATGCTGAGTTCACAGCTCAGCCTTTATGACCCGATGGCTTGCCTTTTTCAAATGCTGCATAAAAAGAAGTGCTCATAACCTATTTCTTCCTTCCATTGCCAGTAAGCAACTAAAAAGTACAGCAGCTTGTTTTAAATCTCATTTGTCGCTAATTTTATTCAGCCCTGTCCATGTACTTGACACTTCACCTGGGCAAGGTTTACAGGTCCCTGCCCTGTGAAGCTTACAATCTGAGACAGACAGAGAGAAAAGAAGACCAACTACCATCAGAGCTTACATCTGGGAATGAGGAGTAAGAGGCTAACGTCAGAGTCCTATGTGTTTACTAGAATGCAAAGTCCAACTACATTCACTAGAGTTTACTCCCAGTTAAGTGTGCATAGGATTTCAGCCTAAGCCATGTATTTGATTGAACCATATATTCAATTGCAGAATCCAAGAGTTCCTCTCTGCTTGCTTGCTTGCTGGCTTGCTTGCTTGCTTGCTTGCTTTAAAAAAAACAAAACACACAATTGCAAGTGTCTCCCCCTCATGGTTGCAAGGAAAAGTTCAAAGCATACTAGCACTGTCTGTTGTGATGTTAATATTTAAAAGTGATGCTACACAGCACCATGTAAATATTGAAGTCTGAGCACTGTGCCAATTAAGGAATTTTATGCACACACACAAAACATGATCTGCATATCTCATTTTGAGCCCAGAATCTGGGGTGTCCTTGATGCAGAGTGTGAGTCTTTGTGGGACAGAGACAAACCACTTTTTATAACGTTATCAGCACACAACACAGTTGCCATTTCACATGAGTTTGTTCCCTGGCCTCATTTAGAAACCACAAGAAACAATATTTTGCTGGGTGCTGTCAGTAATGGATGACAAAAAATAAGTGACAAGGAAAGAAATCTCATCCATATGCTCTTATCTCAGACGCTTTGGTGGCAGATTCTCATAAAACATATGCTGCAGGTTTGTTTTTTGTTTTCTTTAAAAGACAACTGATTTGCTCTGACTGCAAGAAGCTCTCATCCCACCAACATATCATATAGGCTCAGAGCAGGCAACTTATTGTTACACACATACACCCTTTCACCCAGAAGTGAGAAGGTGCGGCTGTCTTGCAACCAGATTTACAATGTATGCTTATGCATATTTACTCAGAAATAAGTTCCATTCCATTTAACGGGGCTTACTCCTAGGTAAGTGTGCATAGTATTGCAACCTTTGCTTTCTTTACGTGATTATGATGATAGTTGTTCATAATAATTGTTATTATGGTGCCATAGCCATGTTCTGGCTTGGTATGCCACCCAAGGCCAGATTTATGGTTTGTCTCACTCAAGACAAACCATGAGATGTAACTTCAGCTTGTTCTTGGGTTTATAGCACAGCAGCAGGTGATTTGGCTGAACACTGCATGAAAACCAACCCAGTGGTCATCTCAAGAATCCATCTCATAACCATTACCTCCCATGAGGAATCATCAATTAATCACACTGGACGGTTAACTAGCAATCTGCCTAACTCAAGAAGTGGTTGTCCAGAACTCTAAGAATGTATATGTTAACACCAAAAAAATTGAACAAAAAATTGCAAATAAAATCAATTATTCATTCTCACAATTACTTAGTCCTGAACGGATGAGAATGTAAGCAAAATGGTCTGTGATTAGCTTCAGTTTACAGCTTTGGTCCCAAACCAAGAGAATAATGTTGTATTGTGCCAAATAGGAAAGGGCTTTGATGGTGAATGCAAATTTATTCAGTACAGCATTCTAAATGAATTCTGAACCCAAAAGTGTTTTGTGTAAGACAGCTTCTTGAGCCTTCTTCGTGCATTCTCAAAGTTTGCTAACCAACTTTATTATATAGTTCATTATTTAATATTTACACTGCCACATTAATGCTTTACTGCAAAAGCAATTTGGAGCGGGGAGGTTGCCCCCTTTAAAGTCCCCTGTGGGGTCAGGCTTGGACATAAGGGGTTTGTCTGCATCTGGAACCTTTTTCCTCCATCTCCAGCCCTGTGGCAATGAATTTCCTTTTATTTCCTTTACGTAGAAAAATAACTTATGCCCAAAGGGAGTGACAATCAAAAATTTGGCAATGAGGACAAATTTATGGGTGATAAGGCTATTGATTGCTACTAGCCATGATGGCTATGTTCTACCTCCTGTGTCAGATGCAGTATGCCCAAGTGGGGTGGTTCAGTTTTGAACCCGGTTCCTGTTTTCCTATTGGCATGATGCTAGAGTAGATGGGACTTTTGGCCTGATCCAATAGGTTCTTCTTAGGTTCTTGAAGCACTGTCAGTCCCCATCCCAATGCAAACCACAAGAGTTTTCTATGGCAAAATTTAATTTGTGATTATTATGGGAGTCCCTTTTAGTTCCCAAATTGTTCTATGTCATGATAATGTAATTGGTACTCTCATAGTGTTGGGTAAGTCCCAGAACTTGCTGTGCTTTTCGTAATTCCCCCATTTTTCCTTCCTTAAAGTGAAGCCTTTTTTTTTTGATAATATTGTTTCTCATTAGCGTACATCTCCTTTTTTCTCACAGCATGATCTGACCTCATACACCATGCACTTGGTGAGAACGGCAAAAGATGAGTGGAGTGCCAGGTGATAAAACTGCTACAGAAGAGCTGCACATTTCAATAAAACTTTTGAAATGAAACACAGAGTGAAGACATGAATCCTCGTTCATTCTTCCTCCAATAAATTAAACCTCATAGTTGTATCCATGCGTATCAGCAACTCATGCATGAGGGTTGGAGCACTGATAGCAAGTGCTTAATAGGATCCTGCCCCCTGTGTTTGATGTCTCATTTACCAAAGAGCTTAAATAACAAAGAGAAAAAGAGCTGTAAGTTTTCTACCAGTATCTGAGAATGAAATAATGTGACCTTTTGCAAGGGGCTCTTTCTTGTTCATGTGCCATCTAGATTGGATCCTCAGTATCTCTCACATTCTCAGCATGGGAGGAGAAAGGCTAATCAATGACATCTGTGGATAATTATTTTACTAAAAAAAACCCACCACAATTGCAAATGTTCTCCTATGAAAAATGATTGCAAAGAAGAGATGAGCGTTCTGGTCAACTGAAAAGAAAGAAGAGCCAAAAGTGGAAAGAGACAGAATCTAAAATACCTCCACTGGCATGCAAAGTAACTATTCTCCTTATTTTGCATTTCCGAGCAGAGATTTTAAATTGTGCCAAATATTATTATCAGTAGTAGCAGTAATATTTATTTATTTAATAGATTTCTAGCCTACTTTTCTGAGTCAAAGAAAACCCTGTACAAAGTGGATTACAACAAGCTTTAAAGTATAGTAAATAAAGTATGCTATTAGAGTAAATAATCAAACCAAAAAAGAACTATATGTAGTCAACACATGAATCATTAAACTAACAAATAAGGTATCAAGCATGAGATTAAACCACAACTGAAAACACAGCACACCCAAATTAACCAACTGCGGACTGCAATAAATAGGTCTTTAAAATCCTCCAAAAGGCCAGAAAAAGAGGGGCATACAATATACTTCTTGGGAGAAGTATACTTCAAAGATGTGGCGCCACCATAGAAAAGAACCCATTCCTGGTACTTGCTAATTCCACAGCTCTCACGGGTAGATCAGAGAGGAGGGCTTTAAATCTTTATTTCAATGCCTGGGCAGTCTGGTACAAATGCAACCCTTCAGCTAGTCTGGTCCCAAACCATTTAGGGCTTTAAAAACAGCACCTTAAATTGGACCTGGGAATGGATAGGCAGGCAATAAAACTGGTGGACAACAGGTGAAACAGGGATGCTATATTTATTTAAAAAACAAAACAGGCTTGTATGTGGATGGAGCTGACTCATGACAGGGTCTCCTTAGTAGTGGTCCTTCATTTATGGAATTCAAAACATTTCTGTTCATCTGGGCACTTGATGGCTGAAATATAATGTTCCTGGAAACACTCAAATGATATAGCTGTGAAGATACATGATTTTAAATACTCTTTAAAAATTGTATTGTGTATTGATTTACTGCTGCCTGGGGCTTCTTTCAGAGTCAAGTCCCTGTGAGATACTTCTAATATTAGAAAGTCAGAGGTGTAGGGGTCCCAATTCAGCCTTTAATGAAAGGATGAATCATTATGTGATCATCCTAGTTTGGCATCACTGCTATGTCCATTTTCTATTGATTTGTCAGAGAAATACCTTCCCTTCTGAAAGTTATGTTTATCTATATAATTTCTTTTTTATGCATACACTTCTCATTTGCTGAAGAACATATGCTCTTCCTCAGAATCCCTTGCTATTTTTGTACCATTATTCATCTACCAAGTTGAAAGTGTTGCTGCAGTTAAATTTAAATCTATTTTCCCTAGTTTGCACATAATTTCAAACCTCTTTCACCATAAGGAGATGTTTATCTAAAATGGTTCCTTCTCCCCCTAGTACATCCATCAGTGAACTACAACAAAGATACTAATAACAATCACAACAACAACAATCACCATCTAAATTGCATGTCTATTTTACGAAAGATCTGGTGGGTTTCTGAATAACTTTCTCACATAATTATTCTAGCCAAACCAGTTATTCTAGTAAAACCTTGCTTAAACAATACTTCCTGGAAAATCTGGCACTAAGTATTTGCTACCGGTTGTCTGTGCTCCACGTCAGGGTAGAGAAGGGATTTCAAGCAAAGGATGTGAAATGTTTATTGTGTTCTCTGCTCCTATGCCCTCCTTACCCCAGTTAATACTATAACCCTTCGTGGCCTAGGTATCAAAATAGTTACCTGCTAATTTTCTTCCTTCCTTTACTGGTAGGCACCAATAAACATTACTCTGAATTGCCAACCCATAGAACGAACTATGCTGTGATGAGCTCTCTGAGCTTAGGGTAGGTTAGTCAAGCATGTGTATCAAGTGATGATGGTTTTTATTTACTTATTTATGTGGGGGGGCGGCATACTCCTATTATCAATGAGTGGTACAGTGATTGTCTATGCATGCTCACTGAGTGGAGATTAACCAGCCCTATCTAGAGTAAGTTCATACATTCAAACTTGTAGCTCCATACCAATGCCAGACATTATGTTCACAGGCAGTCTGTGTGTTTAAACATGGAGCTGCCCCAATTATGTAGAAAGAGGCGTGGGGGACAGCATCTATCTTAAGCAGCCAAAGGGTTGTGAGGATAAGGAATGCAGAGCACCGTCTCAACCCCCAACCCTACCTCTCCACAGACCTTCTCTCCAAAGGTTCTTCTGATGTCATAGCTTAGCTGTAAAGAAAAGTGTTGGGGGGGTGAACAGGCTGCTGGGGGGTGGACAGAAAGAAAAAGGGTCCTCTAAAGTAGTAAGAACCTGCTGAATCAAGCCAAAGGCTTGTTATTATCCAGCTCTCACAGTAGTCAACTAGATGCCTTTAGGAGGCCTGCAAGCATGCTGCAACAGCACTCTCCCCACTTGTGATACCCAAGAAACTCACATCAAATGAATACTGCCTCTAGCAGTGGAGGTAGAACCTAGCCATCATACCACTTTTGTAATGTTTGTTCCCAGTTGAAGATGTTCTGTAAGAAGCTCTAATCAACAGATGCTATCTATACAGCCACTTAGTATTAACACTGTGTAATGCAGGCAGTTACACATATCCATGTTATCAAGTAATTAATACATACTGAGTCATTAATATAATGTATATTGTGCATGCTGTGACAGCTCACTCTTAGGTAGCATGGGGATGCCATGAGTTTTTCAGATGGATTAAAGGTCATTATGCTCTGTACATATTAAATAACCTAGGAATAAACACATCACTTATAGGAGCAATATATTTCCAGTGCTGGAGACTGAGGTGATCACTATTGTGCCTTCCCAGAGGTATTTAGTTGGTCACTTTGGACACTCCTGGAAACAGAATGATGAACTAGATCAGCCTTCTCCAACCTGATGTCTTCCTAATGTTTTGAACTACCATTAGCCCCAGCCAGCATGACCAATGGTCAGAGATGATAGGAACTATAGTCCAAAACTATAAATACAAATAAATCAGTAAGATTTTTGTCTTTCCTAGTTTCAAGCCTTGTACATAGCAGGGAAAACATATGCCAAAAAAGTCCCTCTGAACAAGATGATCAAGGCACATGTTACCTCAGTGAAGATCATGCTTACTGGTTGCTAAGTATTACCTCCACACACCCATCTTGAGTAGTTTATTAACAGTGAAAACAGAATTAACCCTTTAAGTTATGAAGTGAATGATCCTTGCTGCTGCACCTCCAACAGAAAGTCCTCTCCCAGAATGTCATTTCCTGCTGTTCCAAAGTTGACAGAACTACCAAGAGCTGAACCTAGAAGTCTCCTTTCCTACCTTTGGAGTTATGTTAGAAGACAATTAATCAGGGTGATTGTTTAGAAGTAAAAGAGCAAATTAACTTTAATTAGTTGGCTGCCTAGACTTCTGAAATATCTCATATTCATTCAACTAACATATAAGTGTCCCCAAGGGCCACAAGTACTGGTTCTCCATTTTTTTGCCTCCATTCTCACTTCATCCCATTCTGGCGTGTTGCACATTTTGCCGAAGCACTGGCTTGTAAAATGAAAGCAATGTTGTTGTCGTCCTGCTGCGCTACTCAGAAACAATCCATTCCCCTTATTGAGATAAAGTATGAGGGTGCAAGCCGAGACTGTCCAGTGGGGAGCCAGATTACTGCCTCATAAAGCATTGTAACTGTGCCATTATCACATAATCATCGTCATTACTTCACTCACAGCCATACTGTTACTTCTAATCCTAAATAGTCTTTGCTCTTCTATCTTGCTGAATCTCTCATCCCACGCTGTGAAATTAGCATCTTCCATTTTCACCAGTGCTCAATGTAATCACAAGTTAAAAGCACAAGCCTCTGAGAACTGTTCATTTCTATTGTTACTCACGCAAGTCTACTCTAGCTGAGAACAAAACTTAAAACACACACACAAACAATGAAGTGGCAAAAGATCATAAATAAAGGCAAATAATGTACAAGTAGCATACGACGTACAACAGTATTTATTTTAGTCCTGCTTTGCAGAGTGTGTGTGGTAAAATAGGGTATAGGATAAATGATAAAACATGGGGCAATAAGATCCTAGCTCAGCTCAGATGCTGTGGCCAAGCAACAGGTTTCTACAACCATCAGTATTGAGCACAAACAACCCACAGGACTGACTGGATGAGGAAGAGTGGTGGAATCTGCCCAACCAAGAGCCCCCCCCCCCCAAGAAGACACAGAGGAAGAGGATTGCAAGCTTGGGGATTGGTGGTGGGACACTGGCCACACCTCAGAGGAGGGGATGAGCTGGGGAGTGTGAGAAGCAATGCTAGAACAGGACAGAGTAAGGAGGTTTCCAGTTTGGACGCAGGTACCGACAGTGATGACAGAGCCACTCTGACAGCTCCCACCCTCCTAGAAAGAGGCTCTTATTGCATGTTGCTGAGCAGCAAGCCAAGCAGACATAGAGGGAGTCCCTTGGAGCTTGTCACAACAGAGGAGCACAGAGGAAGAGGCCTGACACAGAGGGCTAGGGAGTGAAGGACGGGCTACACACCAGTTCAAACAACTGCTTCATTAAGACAGGATTACCCTTTAGAAGTCTACGTGTGTTCTTTCTTTTGCTTTCCTTAATAAAGAAACTAACTGTCAAGCCCCCCCCCCCGTGTGTGTTTGTGTGTGAACTGCTCTGCCTGTGGGCTCCCTGACAACAGGCTTCGTATTGCTTGCTGGTGCTGCACATTCCTATTCCCTGTACATCTTCAAAGAAGGCTCCAAGGCCTGAGCCCACATGGTACGTGGAAGCTCACTTGACTAACTGCCCAGTTCAGTCCCTGAAGTTTCTCAAATTAAACTGACAGGGAGGCATTTCAGACACATAACAACAGTAATGTAAAAGGCAATGCATGTGGCTACCATTGCAATTTGCTCCTCTAGTGAAACAATCTACTATTATACAAATCTGAAGTGCAACAGGACACTACTGCACATGAGGGAAATATTTCTGTAACTAAAAGTTTTAAACAGCTAATCTAGCTCATCCACTTAAAAAGAACTTAGAGAGAAGAAGTACAAAATACTGTCTACTCACAGGGATGTTCCTGAGCTGCAAAGAAGCCACTAAGCTACCCTAGGAGATGCTCCCACATTCCTCTAACAGTTCTGGAGGGTAAAACAATTAGTTAACAGATTAATTCATTCCGATTGCTTCCAATTATAATGGACACCATTTCAATGCAAAAACATCCCCATTGAGCTTAGAGTGGATTTCTCAGGCTATTCATCCAAATCTATACTTAATCCAGGTTTCCTGGTGGTATTTTTAATTAGTTCTACCATCTATTCTTCTTTGTCCTTTAACCGCACCATTAAAGGCAAGTTAATGGTAAGCGAAGAATTAGTCACATCCTATTTTTTTTCCTTTGTTCTGCACCTCTAGAACTGAAATTCTGAAAGGCATCCCATGTTATAAATGAAATCCCTAAATATTGTCTTTGGTGGGAATTAGGCCAGACCTTGCTGAAATATCACAAGAAACATGGAGTGCTGAAAGTGAACACTGGATTTGCTCCACCATATCCAACATAACATGCATCTAAAGTCAGTAACTTTAGAGATATAAACTAGCGCTGTGCTGAAACTGGTCCGCCAGTTTCTCAAAAGATTTCTACACCTGCAAAGTAATTATTAATTCATTAATTATACCACTTCTATTACAGTTTGTTACCTGCCCTTCACATGAAGCTCCCAGGGAGGGTTACAGCAATTAAAGCACAACATTAATATTAAAATGCAATGTTAAAAACAGTTTAAACAAGTTAAAATTACATAAAGAAGGTGGGTCCTAAAAATATACATCTCAAGTGTCAAAAGCCAGGGTGAAGAGATGTGTATTCAGTATTCTGCCTCTCCTGGGCAGTGGTGTAGCAACCCTCGATGGTGCCTGGGGTGGACCAAAGTTGTTGAGTTAGGAAATCTGACGTGCCAACCTCAAGCTCTCCTGCTGCCCAGAATCCCACCCCTGATGCACAGCAGCCACTGTGCCACCCTACAGACCCCCATGGTGCCCTACATCCCCCTGCCCAGTGTGGACCACCCCACCCCGCCCCTGGCTAGCTACTCTACTGTTCCCGGGCCACCGCACTTCAAGCTTCTGAGGGCAGAGGAACTACCTAGAGAGCACCCAATATGAAGGAAGCAGGCTTTCAGGTATTTGGGACCCAAATCGTTTACTGCTTTTAAACATTAATGTGAGTACCTTGAATTAAGCCCATAAATGAACTAGCAACCAGTGCAGCTGTTTAAAAACAGGGGTTATACAAGATCTGAAGGGAAACCTAGCCAGCATTTTTTTCCATCCAACTGAAGTTTCCAAATCTTCTACAAGGGCAACCCCATGTAGAGCACATTACAATAATCCAATTGGAAGTTGCCAAAGTATGAAGTACATGTTGATTTAAAGCAGAGTCTGTCGTGCCCAGCGGAAGGATGAGGAATACGTGATACATACTCTATATAGCTTTATTTACAGTTCAAAGCTATTATATTACAGAAAGACATCTTGCCTCTGCCGGAGCAGAGAAATGCATCCTCTCTCCTCAACAGCTCGGAGAGAATCACACAGTGAAAAAACAGGAAACCAGTGTACGTCACATCCAGCCTCCCTTTCCCGTGAGAAACTCCAACAGTACAGTACAGTACAGACTGTGGAATGTAAACACCTGTCTCGTGACAAGCAGAGCTGCACAGTGAAGGAAAGCAGAAACCAACATCCTCCCCCTTTCTGTGAACATCACTGGGCAGCGTGTTCAGTACAATATCAGTACAAACCCAACTTCTGCACATAGGTACAGTGTTGATCCCTTGATACAATCTTGGACAATACATCAGCAGGAATTTCATTACCTGGCATATAGGACACCGTTACGAGTCCCTTCTGAATACATTCCCTAGCATGCTGCAACTTTAATTGCAAGTGCTTTGTGCTTTGCTTACAACCTTCAGACTTCAGCAAAGCCAAACATGCTTTGTTGTCCTGGTAAACCTGGATTGGACATTTGACAGGAATTTTCATATCTTTGCACAATTGTACTAACCATTCACAATCCTTAAGTGAATAAGACAGTGCATTCAGTTCGGCTTCACAAGTACTTAAGCTAACTGTTGTTTGCTTCTTGCATGACCAATCAAACAGACTCTGATTGTACATGTAGCAAACTCCAGACGTACTTTTCCTGTCTGTAGCGTCACTTCCAAAACTTGCATCTGCAAATATCTCAAGACCACCAGACTTCTGATTGTTAAATCTCAGTCTGTAATGCATAGTGCCTTTCAAATACCGCGCTATGCGTTTCAGAGCTTTCCAATCCTTGACACTAGGATTGTTGACTTGTCTGCTTAGCAAATTACAGCTAACAGCAATGTCTGGTCTTGAACATCTGGCAATGAAGTTTAGCTTGCCTAGCACACTCCTGTACAGTGTAGTGTCAGAAAATGCTTCTTCAGTGTCATCTACCTGATAACCTGTTGTCATCGGTGTGTCTACAGGGTTAGCATCCATCAGATTTAGTTTGCTTAACACATCAGCAATTTTCCGTGACTGGTGTACTAGAATGTTACCATCTTGATCTCTCTCTATTTCCAGAGATAGGTAGTTGTTTACCTCACCAAGATCTTTCATGTCAAAGTGCTCTTTCAGTTGAGCTAGGGCGTTATTGTACATTGCAACATCTTTCCAAAAGAATAATAAATCATCAACATAAAACAAACAGTACAGTTTCTTTTGCCCCTCCTCTTTGACAAATACACATGGATCAGCTTTCCCTTGCTGAAAACCTAGAGAAAACAATACTTCAGTGAGTTTTGTGTGCCAACACCGTGCACTTTGTTTGAGACCATAAAGGGATTTCTTCAGAGCACAAACAAATCCCTGTTTTACCTGTACGCCATCAGGTGGAAGCATATAAAGTGATTCATCTAGAGATCCGTACAGAAAAGCTGTATTAATATCATGGTGACTAATGTGTAGATTTTCCTCTGCAGCTAGCTTGAGCATAAGCCTAATGCTTTCATATCTCACTGTGGGTGAATAGGTCTCGTGATAGTCTTCACCTGGTACCTGTGCAAAACCTCTGGCTACCAATCTGGCTTTGTGTCTGACTATCTTGCCATTTTGATCCGTCTTCGCTTTGAAGACCCATTTGCTTCCAAGCAGTTTCATTCCTGGAACTACTGGAACTAGCTCCCATGTTTTGTTCCTTTCTAAGGAATCAAGCTCAGCCTTCATGGCATTTAACCATGGCTCAGCTTCCTTTGAATCCAAACCCTGGATTTCTTGGAAACTTGAAGGTTCAAATACCTTCTTGGAGCTTTTAACAGCTGTTACTGCTATCTTAGCAAACTCATCAGCAAATCTCTTTGGAGGTTTGCCTGTTGTGGCTCTCTGTGACCTACGAATTATCCTTAAGTCTTCAACACTCTCCTCTTCCTTCTTAGGAGAAAAACGACCTATTGTGAACAATGGTTCCTCCAATTCTTGATCAGAGCTCTCAGAGGGTCGCATAGAGGCTTTCGCACTCTCGAAATCCTCTGAATCACCCGATTCAGTTTCAGATTCAGACTCAGAACCTTCATCAGTGGGTGTGGGCTGTTGTGGTTGCTTTTGACTATCCTCAGTCTCATCACCGTCATCAGGATAACATTGGAAAATTCCCACATTCTCCCCCACTTTGCATTGTACTCAACACTTCTCGTGAGCTTAATTGTCTTAGAGTCAGTCATCATTATTCTGTAAGACCCTTTCTGATAACCTAGAAAGATACCATGCAATCCACGCTTGTCTAACTTGGAGTTTTGTGGTGAGCGAACCCACATGTCAGACCCAAAACGCTTCTTGTGTTTGATGTATGGCGTCGTGCCAAACATCGTCTCAGAGGGGGTACAACCAATCGCTGAAGATAATCTGCGATTGTAACTGTAAACAAAACACGAGAGAGATTCGGCCCAATAACTCTCTGGAAGATTGGCATCATGCAGCAGGGTTTTTAATCCTTGAAGCAAAGTCTGATTTGCCCGTTCCGCAAGTCCATTCTGCCATGGCGAGCGAGGACTAGACAAATCGTGTTGAATTCCTTTCTCAGTCAGAAAAGCTTCAAACTGCTGAGAAGTGAATTCCCCCCCGCGATCACTGAAAAGAGTCTTTATCTTCTTACCATGCACATTTTCCAACCAAGCACAGAATTCCTTGAACCTAGGAAAAGCCTCCGATTTCTGCTTGAGATTGTACACAAAAATATATCTAGAAAATGCATCAATGAGAACCATGAAGTATCTATTTCCACCCAAAGAGGGCGCTAGTGGTCCAACCAAATCAGCATGAACAACCTGGTATGGTTCTGTAGCTTTCCTACTAGACACCTTACCTTCGCAGCCATTTTCACCTTGTTTGCTGCGCATGCTTTGCACTTCATGTGGTACCTGCAGGGTTTAATAGTCATACCTTCAACCAAGGCAGGCATTTTAGATACTGCCTCAAAATGCAAATGACCAAATTTTCGATGAAAATCGTGAATACATTCTGCATGCAAACTTTTGTTAGAACCTGCAATGCAACAAGTGTCATCCTGCACCACATCATCATAATACAAAACAAACAAATGATCAACATATTCTGCATGCAATACATAATCATTTTTCTTTGTGATGATGCACTTCTTGTTCTTGAAGGAAACGTCAATGTTCCGCTCATTCAGCTGTCCAACGCTGAGCAGATTATGTTTGGCGTCTGGCACGTAAAGCACATTCTGTATCGATAAGTCCAAACTGTGAAGAACAACAGTTCCGTAGCCTTTACTGGGAATAGTGTGGTCATCCGCCTGGTGAATCGCACCTTCCTGCGGTGTAAAAGACACAAACAGTCTCTTATCGTTGCACATGTGGTGTGTGGCCGCTGAATCAACAACGAAGAAAGATCTAGACGTCTTCTGGACCTCTGCAACCTTTGGAGTGAAGCGTGAAACCATAGCCTTGTGCTGCGTTGTCCTAGACACCGGACCTTTGCCTTTGCCTCGGCCTTTTCCGCGCGATGAGCTTCGCTGCGCTGCTCTGTCTTGGCCCTGGGATGTCTGCATTCCCTCTTCATATGGCCTAGACGTCCACACG